GTTATCCAGGTTACACAAAGTATTAAGAAAGAGTTGACTTTTGGATGTTGTAAAAACATGGGAAGTGAACAGTTTACGTAGTTGCTTTTAGGTGGTATTTTCATGTACAATTATTTGTTTACCGGTGACTAGACTAATAGGAGGCTCTGGACGTATACAAATTGCACGGCTATTCCTCCAGTATAATGGCAGTGCAGAGATAATGCCATACCACTGAAGTAGCTGAACATAATTGAGCCCTTGTGCTTGGAGATTAGCCCATTTTTTAATTTTCCCATTTGTGTCATATATATCTGCAATATAGATTGTTCCTGCATTAAAAAACGCTATGTAAAAAATACTTTTATTTGAATGATGATATTTTTGTTATTCCATATGATTTCATATTCATGCGAGATGTTTTTATTAGGCCCAACTTCACTCCACTGTTTTAGTAAAGTGTAATAGAATAATGGGAGTTTAACATTGAGTAAGTCAACAGAAAAATTACATTTAAAAATGAAATTTAGGAAATAAGTATCGTTTTACCCACCCAACATTAATGGCTTTTTACATTGCATGTAAATCAATCATACCCAAACCTCCTTGGCCTATGTCTCCTATCAGTGTGCTGCGTGCTACTCTATCGTGTCCTTGCCATATGAATGTATATATTTTACTATTTATGAGTTTAATATCCCGTTGTAGAATTGTATTATGGTTGAAAATAAATAGTAATTTTGGAATAACAAAAGTTTTAATAATCTGAATTTTGCCAATAATTGTCAAACTACGTCTAGACCAGCATTGCACACACTATTTAAGCACTTTATTGGTATATTTATGTTCATTTCATATGCTGCTTTAACATCATAGGAAAAGAAGACATCCACAATTTTGATAGGAGAGATGGACCATTTAACCCCGAACGGTCTGTCTTGACGGAAGCGCCATCTGCCCAACAAATTGCTTCAGTTTTGTCATAATTGACCTTTAACCCTGAAACCAGTGCAAATTTGTTAAAAAGAGAGAGAAGATTTTTGCCCGATTTTACATCTGCAACGAAGCAGGTAAGATCGTCGGCATAGGCTGAGTTTTTAATTTGTTGTGCACCAATAGATATCCCTTTAATCCCGCCACTGTGTTTCTGATTAAGTAATAAAAGCTCCAGAGATAAAATAAACAGTATTGGGTATAGGGGGTCTCCTTGTCTAACCCTCCTAGAAAGGCCGAAAAATCCAGTTGATTCACCACTGTTCATTAAACAGCTCACCGGATCTGTATAAAAGCATTGTACCCAACGTAAGACGGAAGGGTCAAAATTAAATATTTTTTAGACATTGGATCATATAATTCCACTCTTGGCTGCCAAAGGCCTTTTGAAAATCGACAGCAAGAAGTATGCCAGTATCGTTATTATCTTTCACCCTCAATTACACGAACACATTCCCCAATTGATCTATTTTTAATAAATGCGGCGTGTGATTCAACAATTAACTTGTCTAATACTTTTTCTAATCTTTTAGCAAGGATTCTAGCAGCCATTTTGTAGTCAGTGTTAAGCAGGGTAATTGGTCTCCAGATAGACAGATACATCTTATCTTTGTCCTTTTTCTCAATTAGGGTAATAACTCCTTGACATTGACTACTGGACATGTAACCAAGTTCTGTGGCCGAATTTAGAGAGTTAATTTCATAAGAGCCAACCCACTGCCAAAATGTCAAATAGAACTCGACCGTTAGGCCATCATTTCCAGGGGTTTTATTTTTATACATACTTTTAAGGGCATTGGACGCCTCCTGCAACGTAAGAGGTCCCTCACAAAGTTCCTTGTCATTGTTCCTGAGTCTTGGAATGGCATTGAGCTGGGAAAGAAGATCAGTCATTTCGTAGTCTTTGAGGTGGCCTTGTGTAGTGTAAAGACTGGAAAAGAAATTACGAATTTGGGTTTGAATAGCATGATGGACTGTTCGGACATGATGGATTTCCCGACGTATAAAATAGTTGGATAATCTGGGACTTTTTTGCCTTGTGCTTTTCCAAACTTAACAAAATATTTTGTGTTCTTTTCCCCTAGTTCATACCAATCTACACGTGCGCGTATGAGCCCCCCCCCCCTAGTCAAATATTCGAACTCCAAATCCAAATATATACGAACGTTTGAGATTTCAACTTTTAACTTCTCACATTCATTTCGACTAAGTTCTATATCAAGAGATTCCAGCTTGGCTTCAAGTAAATTCCTCGACTCTCGTCGTTTTCTTGTCATGCGTTTCCCAAATAAAATAGAATTAGTTTTTATTTTAAATTTCATAAAAACTCCCATAGCCCTTGGGGATTGTTTGGGTTACTATATTCCTTCTCCCAGTTTTGTAAATTGTTTTTAATCAATTCAATATATTCATTATTTATTAGGTAACTGTTGTTCGATTTCCAATATGAATTCCCCAATCTACCCACTTGGTCTCCAATATAAATAGTAACAGCAGAGTGATCGGATAATGCATTGGGCACAATATCACATTTTGATACCGCCTTTTGCAACGAATTAATGACAAGAAAATAGTGAAGACGACTCTGAATTAATGTTGGACGTAATCGTCTCCACGTATAACGTCTCCTAGTTGGGTTT